ATAATTTGAAATAGGAAAAAAGGTCAAAAGACGAAGGAGTGAAGGGAGGGGAAGGGGAAAGGAAAAGAGGGAAAGGAAAAAGTATGAGAAAAGAAAAAAAAATGGAAATGAAATCTATGTAAATAGGGAAGGGTGGAGGGGTGAAGGGTGCACAGGTAATGGGGAAAAACATAAGAACCATGATACATCATGTACAGGTGCAAATGCCCAATGATAAATGTAAATGAATTGTATACCTAAAATGTACCAATAAAAGAACTAAACACAAAAAAAAGAAACAATTTGATAGCTGTGTATTTAATCTTATGTGCAGCTCTTTGGACTTTGACTAACAATCCCAGCTTTGTGCTCCAACCACACTGGCCTTTGGACCTAGAGTCTTATCTTACCATGTTTATAAAGTATCTTCTGACATTTACACAAAATAAAATCAGAAAATTAGCAGAAATTTATTAAGCAAACTTCAACTTTACAAATCATCCAAAGGATCCAAAAGGATATCCAAAAGGATATGTCTTGAATGCCTAATGGTTCCTGTACAGAATTACTATGAAAGTCAAAAAATACTGAAATGAGACAGCCCTTGTAGCTGCAACTGTTTACAGTCTGACTTAATTATAAGCTAAAGGTTTGGGGTTTTTTTGCCCTATATCTTACCTTAACTTCCACATGTGCCATCAGGACTGCAAAATTGGTCAGATGGTTACAGGAGCAAGTGGTGTGAGTCTTGTTTGTTGTCAGGAGCCGGCAGCCTTGTGTTGACCAATAGCCTGTCATGGTGCGCTTGGAATAGCTCCAGAATGAACAGTTAGGGTTGAAATTTTCCTCTGACTGCTATAGTGGGAAAACAAGGAAACAAACAAAAAATAAAGGCAAAAACCATTTCATTTACATGTAACTTAAGAAGGTATTCCCACAGCCTCATTCTCTGCTGCAATTCCTGTGCCTTTGTCTACAGTGTTTTCATATTAAATGGGCCTCATTAATTCTAAGAAAACTGATAGGCTATATTCTCCATTTGACTAAAAGAGTGTTCACTGTTTTTAAATTATTAATATTGAAGGATATTAGTATCAATGTTTTAGAATCATCAGCCACTATACATTTCAGAGCAAAGAAGTTAACTGTGGGAAACAACTTCTGAAATCAACTGAAGGTCTGAAGTTAACTTTAAGAAATCTTTGTTGAATTTAAAATTGCAATCAATTTTGATATTTACTCAAAAATAAATTTTTGCAAAAGACATAAGTACTTGTATTATCATTTATGAGACCCTGTCCAATTCCATTTAATATTTTGCTAGCTCTTTTCTAAAGATAAATTACAGTGTACATGTTTAAGGTATACAATATAATGTTATGTAATATATAGAGATAGTTAAAAGATTCCTATATCAGAGAAAATTAACATGTCTATAATCTCCATATTCATTTTTGCTTTGTTTACTTCTCTGGCAAGAGCAGCTATAATTTAGTTTTTTCTGAAAAAAATTACTACTACATTTTACAGGTAATGAATTGCTGTATGACAATAATAGAAATAGTATTAAAATAAAACTAATACATCTAATATTCATGTTATATTGAATGTGGGTAATGTAAACAACTAAATTAAATGTGCCATTTTCTTACCTTGATATGTTTAACAGTAAAGACCACAGGATCAGCCAAGTAAACCTTATTACTGAATTCTTTGTTTATTGATGCCGTTATCACAGGTGAATTGACAATAACAGAATGATTTGTGGACATAGCTTCTGTTCCCAACTTCATACTGGCATTCTCCGTGGACAGATAAGGGCCCAAGTTGTTATATAGAACAAAGGCCACTCTGATCTCACCTAAAATGAATGCAAGTGCAAATTATTAGGTGGAAAATACTGATTCTTTTGTACACTTTATTTAACTTAGTTCTAACTAGATGGTAATTAAATCTGTACAATATGCACACACAACATCAAGCATTTATTTGGCACCAAAGTGCAAAGTCAACTTCTGCTGAAATAACTACATATCAGTGCTTAAAAATAAATGAACCTCCATCTTTACCTAATTCTATACTCAAAACTGAATTCAAGATGCATCACAGACTAAACACAAAAACCAGAAGCGTAAACATTACAGAGCAACATACAGAATTATATCTTTGTTCTTTGAGGAAGGAAAAACGACATGTATAGAACTCAAAAAACACTAAGCATAAGACGGTCAACTGAATTTTATCAAAATCAAATACTTGAATTCATCAAAATACATTAAGAACTTAAACCACAAAGTAGGAAAAACATAGGATTCATAAATATAAAAACTGTGTCTGTTAGTCAATAATAAAATAGATAACATTTTAAAATGATAAAACACACATACATTTTTAGGAAAAAAGAGAAACAAAAGATCAGTGAACACTAGAAAAATTATCAGCTTCATCAGTAATTAGGGAAATGAAAATAAAGACCACATTGAGATAGTATTTTATAACAACCAGAATCTCTCAAATCAGAAAGAATGACCACAACAATGGTGACAGGAATGAGGAGCAACCGGAATTCCTGTACACTGCTGGGGGGAGTGTAAAATGGTTTCAACTACATATCTGGAGAAATATTTGTCAGTCTCTTGTAAATTTAAACACATTTCACCCTTCTTAGGTAAGTAAAAATATACATTACAAAAGAAAAAAGCTCATAAAATATTTATTGCATCTGTATTCCTGACATCTCAAAATTGGAAATGGGAGAATAAAGTAAAACATGTTAATATTATAGAATATACTGTGCATCAACAAACTATTGGCCAATGATACTTCCAGACAGAGTCTCAAAAATATTTTGCTGAGTTATAGAATCCAGACAAAAGAAACTATATTCTGTGTTATGCCAGCTACATGAAGTCTAGCAACAGGACACTATTGTCTACAGCAATAGTAATGAGAAGAACATTTCATGTGGTAAAAAGCTGGGAGTGGGGATAAGAATGGTAAGAGACACCAGGGAGTTTTCTAGATAACAGAAGAGTTTTATTTTGTTTTATGTGATATTAGAGAGGTTTGTACAACTGTAAAATTTCTCAAGGTAAATACATGTGCATATTTTAGTGTATGACCTCCTTTTACCATAGCTCTTCCCATATCATCTGTTTTCTTTAGAAAAAGGCAAGCCCTACATCTAACTGTCAGTATAAAGTCACGTCAGTTCACCAAGAAAGACATTGTTCTATTGCCATGGTTGCTAAAATGAGGGAATCACACTTCTCATCTCTGGATCTTAGGGCCAAGTGAGAAGAGAGACAACATTTTTGAAGAGGAGTGGCTGTTTAACATATAAACTGTGCTCCCATGTTAGGGATTCAGAAACACACAATACATTTATATTTGTTTTCCCAGCTACCCTTGCAAAGAGGTTCTCTGGGCACCGCAACTAGACTCATCCAGTCAGGTGCAGTGGCCTCAGACTTTGGATGAGGAGTTAGTGACACGTGAAGCAGGAAGTGGAGCAGAAATAGCAGCAGCAGCAGTGCGGTTACTGCACCAGACTTCACTGTGGCTGCAAGAATATCTCATAGAAGATTCTGTGCTGTGGGACAGGCTGTTGACAGCCTCCGTGCTCCACTGTCTTCTGGACCTGATGTATTATAGAATCTATTATGCTTTCAGTAATCCAGTGAAAAGATTATGATGAAGGCTACACAAAGGAAGAAGGTACACTGACCTAATCCATATCTGTTAACATAGATATATAAAGGTAACAGACCAAGGAATGTTAATTCATGAATGCTTCCTATCTATTGCAACAAAGAATCCTTCCCCTCTAGATTTAGTATAAAAACACTGATTTTTGGAAAGCTAAACTTAGAAATATCCATGTATTTTTCTTGTTCATATTATCAACTTTTATTTTAATTGGGAATAACTCATACAAATTTTTACTTTTGAGTGCTATTTTTCCATCTTACCTTGCTTTACCAATGCATTTAGTCACATATAATTGTTTCAGTTTCCTCACTCCAAAATTTATACTTGTGTGATGTAAAAAGAAAATAACTTATACAATAATGTAGTGAATAATAAAAGGAATGAGCACACGTTACGATGAAAACACACTTATGTCAATCCTCATTAGCTTTGTGTTTGACAGTTCACAAATGTATCCAGTACATCCTCAGATATGTGCTCACGCATGTGCCAGGCACTGTTTCAAGCACTAGAACTACATCAGTAACAAGAATCAAAAAGGTCCCGGCTCTCATGGAGTTTATTGCCTAGAGGGAAAGTCAGACTATAAAGAGGAAGATGAATAATACAATTTCCTGTAATGGAAAATAAATAAATATTATGAATAAGCATTGGCATGAGCATGGCTAATGGGGAAAGACTGACTGGGAAGGAGAAGTCCACGTTAAGGGAGATAAAGACTTTCTCTATGGAGGGCAGATTTATTTTAAGAAGTGAATGATGGGGAGGTCAATGTGCAAAGAAATATGAAAAATGTATTTCAAGAAGAAAGCAAAAAAAATACTGTCTAGGAACATACAGGAACTTACAGTGTGGGCCAGGAACAGAATTAAGGCTGATTTGCTTGGATCATGGAGAACATGCTGAAGACAGCGGGAGTGGAGGCTAGAGTGGCAGGAAGGAGGAGACCAGGGAGCAGGGTTGGGACTCGGTGGGGCACAGGATTCCTTAACTAGGGGAGAGCTGGTCAAATTTATTTTAGGAAGGATCTTCTCTCAACTGGAAATATTTTTAGAGGGCAGAAGCAACAGCAGAAGCAGAGAACCCAATTAAGAAGCTAACTCAGGAATGTGATTTTGCCATGTATAATCTTATTGCTGCCTCAAAAATTATTTTAGTCCAATTAACAGAATAATGATTCATAATTTCAGTCTTATAAGAATTTTACAACTTATAAAGCATTTTACTCTAATGACAAAAATATAAATTTTCTTAACATTTAACAGCCTCTTCTTTTTAAAACTACACACAATGCAATATAAAACATATATCTTGAGATGGTTGCTTCAACTTGAGGTCATTTTTCTATCTTCTAGAAGGTTGGTACTGACTTGGCAAAAATATGATTTAAAATTTTGAGATTTGTGAAACTTAGGGCATACTTCATGAGATCACTCATTTATTGAATTTTAAGTTTTCTTAGTGAATTCAGTCCAATAGTAAGCTGAGCTGACCTACATACACCAGTTCCAAATTTTCAGTATGTCTTTCAAAGAAAAAGTATAGAAACACTCTCAAAAATGTGGAAATAAAAAATGTATTTTAAAAATTAGAAGTTAAAAAAAAAAAACGAAAAAAAAATTAGAAGTAAAACTTCCTTTAAAATTTTTATAAAACTGCAAACTCAGTGAGAGCTACTCTTTTCAAGGCAAAAAGTCAGATCATCTGAGTTTTGGTATTCATAATTTTCCACATATTCAAATTTCTGAAAACTGAAAAGTAATGGAATAATTTTCAAATCTAATAGAAAATTTTATGGGATAAACATCACTGTAGATAAGAATAAGAAGTAGAGAAAGAGAATATTATAAAGAGGAGGAAAGAAAGATCTCTTACACAGTGGATCTAAAATGCCAAAGCTAAGAATCAATAAACCCTTTTCCATGGATTTATTGGCCATTTGTACTTCTTCTGAGAAGCATCCATTCATTTCAGTTGCCCATTTTGATTGGGTCTTTTATTTTGGAGGGGTCTAATTTCTTTGAATTCTTTATATGTTCTTAATTTTAGTCCCCTGTCCTAGGAATAGCTGGCAGAAATATTTTGCTGTTCTATAGGTTGTCTCTTCATTACATCAGTTGTTTTCTTTGCTGGGCAGAAGCTTTTTAATTTTATATGATTCCATCTGTTGCTTCTTGGTACTACTTCTTGTGCCACTGGGGTTCTGTTCAAAAAGTCGTTGCCTATGCCTATGTCTTCAAGAGTTGTTATATACTTTGAGTAACTACTTTGAAGATAATGATACACAGTGTATTAACTATTGCTATTCTCTTATTATTGCATTATGAAACTTTGTTTTATCTTTACATAAAATAAAAAAAAAGAATCAATGAACCCATGCAAGTTCAATACTATCAAGCAAAAAATAACTTACCATTGCGGCCATTTTGCTTTAAAGTATTTGCAGAAAGCTGTATTGTGCTTCCATGGGCTATGTTTTCTGGAAATTTTAGGTCTTCTAAGTTTCCATCTGTGCTTAGCCTCGCAACTTCTAATTCTGTTAACAAGAGAGAACTGTCAATGCTCGCTGAACATGTTGAAGTTATGATAATTTCCTAAATCACTAAAAGAGTTCTAAAATCAAAACACTGGTGTTCTCATACTATTTGTCATACTAAAGTTGTTCAGTTTTTAAGACAATATATTGTACTATTTTAATTTTTTCAAAATAAAGCAGAAAACCTATAAAAACATGTAAATAATACAAATATATTAATAATAAAGTCAAAAATTTGAAACTCAAGCCCACATCCTTGTACCATTGACATTAGGTTACCATTCAAAATATTATTTCTATTTTATGAGTTGTGTAAAATTCCTTTTATAATCTGAGCTGTATTATCATAGCAATATTGATCTATTGTTAAATCAAATAAAATGTGAAATGGTTTTATCAAATCTCTGAAATAAAATTGTCAGCTATACGATACACCATAATAAAATGAATTTATACCCTTTATAAGCAAAGTAACAAAATTATCATTGTTTTGTCCTTTTCACTCAAGTGATTTAATTATTTATACTGTATAATTCAAACATAGATCTGAAATGACTTATAAGCCCTGTATTAGGAGGTCAAAATACTACGTAGTACAAATGATATATTCATACATAAAAATTCTAAAAATAAATAAATGATCTCAGGGTAATATGTCGAAAACTGTAATGTCCTAACAAGTTTAATGTATGTGCTTTTGACCTTGGTAGGCTGAAAGGTGATGGGTGCTTAATTTAGAAAAATGAATAAATTATATCCATTGAAATATGGATATAATTCATGTCAATGGAGCACTCATAGCTGGTGCTCTAGATGTACTTTTTTTCTTTTCCCTCTTCTGCTATACAAGGGTTTCTGGACCTTCTGTGTAACAAGGGCCACTTACGAATATTGTCTGTGTTCTCCCTGACAATGTCAGTCTTCAAAAGGTTATCAGCCAGCACAAAAGCACTCTCCTCCACAGTGTCAAGTAACATGGTGGCTGCTCGGAGTTGATCGCTTGTAGTCAGGTCTCTCCACGCATTCAAAGCTTGTGGCTGAAGGAGGTTGTTAACTGTCTCAATCATTGCCTACAAGAGGATGAACAGAATGACAGAGGTCTCTAGTGAACCACAAGGCTGTCAGAAATCCAGGGGTACATGTTGCCCAGCAAGCAAGGATTAGCGGTGCGCATGAGTTTGCTATTGTCCCAGCCTCCCCTGTGACATGCTGCAGCAGAAGCATTCATTATTTTCCCATGAAGCCCTGACTGAGACTTTGCAAGGGCAGAGGAAAACTTGTTTTTGGTTTTGAAAAACAACAAATTGAGCCATGCTTGCTTCTTAGAATCAATAGTGCAGGCTTCAATAAGACTATGATCACATAATTAAATTATTTGACTTGGGAGCCCTTGACAACTAATTTAAACCAACAGTTTTGGCACACAACCCACCAAAAATGATTTTTTTCCCTATACATCACCATAAAATGGAATGCTGATCTCGACAGGGATTAAAATGATAACTATGGACAGGCAACAGAAGAATCTGTTGCCTACAGATTGAGGAGTCACTGTGCAGACAATTTTTCCTTATTCTCTCTTCTTTTTTTTTTTTTCCTAAGCCAGCAGCTAAAATATCAGACTGGAGAAAGTATCAAAGGATACATACTCCCAGGGGCTTTGGACATGTTATATGTGGAGAGAAGCCTCCTTCATGCTGTTTACTACTAGGAAAGGGAATAAACAGTTGGAATTCACTGCCCAGGGCCCTCTGGTGCTTTTTCTTTAAAAAAAGAATCAGCAGTAGGTACATTCACACACAGAGACAAAACAGCACATTTCTCATTGCTTTATCCAAAAGAATCATCTCTCCAGTTACAACTTATGTATTTCCTGTGGTTTGCTTTATGCAGTAGGTTACAAAGAAAAAACAGTTCTCCCAACAAGGTCTTGAGCATCATTCAAACATCGAAGTTTGCAAAACAGAAAAATACAGCACCTGCAGTTTGAAAGTGATCATCCCTGAACCCATTCATTATAAAATATGCCTCTAATCCAAAAATAAACAGCCAACACAGATACTGTTTCTAAGCAGCATATAAGTGTTTTAAAACAGGGCTCACATTATTGACACGTTGGCAGAGGGACTGGAGAGACGGGAGGTATGTCCTTTACACTGCAGTGTTTTCCTCTGGCTGGTGTTTTCATAGTAACCAAGTAACAACTGTTAAAAATTCAGCTTCATAATGAAACACCTTGGCTGCCAATTAACACCAGCTTCAAAAACTAATTTGCCTTTGATAAAACTTGTTTTTCTTGATATTTTCCCAGCTATTCCAAATTCTGGCCAAAAAATCAACATTTCTGGACTTTTGAGTAAAATAGTCCAAGTCATCACTTGCATACTTTGTATCATTAAACACATACACAGTAAAACAAAAAAAAATTGTCATGAATTTAAAGACCGGATGCTTTCACATAATGTGCCTAGCTAGTCCTGACATTTGTTCTGGGTTTAAAGCATGACCTAGTAGCCAGACAAAAGTATTTCCGATCCCAACAAAATTAACTAGTTTCTAGGAAGTTCTCTATAGGGGTAATGCCAACAGGATATGCTGAAAAAGAGGTGCCAGATAGGAAACAAACAAACAAATAAACAAAAAGTTGTGGTAGTTTCTAAACCCAAACAGAAAACATCAATTCTTGAGTGTGAAGAGGTATTCTTTTGTGGATAGGTGATCCGCTGAACTCATTACAAATGCTTTGACAATCCCACATCCAACAGAAATTATACAGCCGCTTTGAAATGGAGCAGCTAATAATTTTAATTACTAAATAACTTCACATTGATTAACTTAAATCTTACATCAGAGAACATTTATTGAGGATAATGCAATATTTCTTTTCTGCCCTTTTTAAAAATACTAATTTAAAAACTGCAAAATGAGAGGAAAAAAAAAAAAGAACACTAAACAATATGGTGAACTCCAACACTGTTATCCAACAAAATTTTAAATAACTGGTTCCAAAACAAAAAGGGGAATTAAAGAGAGTCTGAATAGACTAGCATGGAGTCTGCATCAGCCACCAACAACTTTCCAGCACAGACAAGCCTTGGGCCAGATGGCTTCACTGGTGAATTGAACCAAACTTTCAAGGAGAATTAACACCAGTCCTTCTCAAACTCTCGCAGAATGCTGAAGAGGAGAGTCCACCTTCAAACACATTTCACAAGGCCCACCTTACTACTATGATACAAAAGCCATACAAAGATGCCATCAGAAAACTACAAGCCATATCCATGATGAATACAGATTCATAATTCCTCAACCAAACACAAGAAAGCCTAAGCCAACAGCACATTAAAAACTCATACACCATAACCAAGTGCAATTTATTCCAGGGTGCAAGGATAGTTCAACATATAAAAATCAAGGATGTGCTAACCCAGAGACTCAGAGCATCATCTGCAGTATTAAATCAAAGTGTAGGGTCTGGGACCACATCCACTGAATTTGTGCTGGATTCTGCTCATACTATCTGTGAGGCATTGGGTGGTGCGTTGCTTAACTTTTTGTACCTCATCTGTAAATTAGGAATACAATTATGATAAACTCAAAAAGCTTGCCTGGCTCATATAGGTCCTCAATATGTAATTTTATTTTTACTGTCATTTGATATCACAGTTCAGTGGGGAAAGAAAAGGTGCCTTCCTTTAGTAAGCACATAGGCCATCTGATAATTGTTAAATAGCCACAGCTCACTGAGATTTAGAGGGAATAGCTCTTCTGCAATGCAATCTTCAAAATCTGAGCTCTTACAATACTATATTACCTGAAACTTTGAGGAAGAGGAGTAGTGGTTTGAAAAGATGTTAAGGAATAAGAGTAGAAATAGGAACAAACTGATGCCTTTTTCTGCTACTGAAAACACAGTTAATAGGTTTCTAATTACTCTAAATTATTTAAGCTTTCTAAATGTTCTATAATGCTGTCTTCTGGATACATCCTAACATTATACAACATTACTGGAACTCATATCATTAAATTCAGACCTTACGCAAATCCAACTGACGAATGTATTAGTCAGCTTTTCCATTGCTGGGACACAACACTGAACACCCACAATTAAAGGTGGAGAGGTTTAATTTAGCTTATGGTTTCAGGGGATTCAGTTCATGGTAGTTGAAGGCAAAAAAGTGGTAAAAGGTGCAGCAGAGAAAAGATGTTCAGTTCGTGGTGTCAGGGAATCAAATCAAAGGAACAGTGCCAGAGAGGAAGGAGACAGGCACTGTATAAAATCCCCAAGGTCAGGCTACCACAGTCCACTCAGATATAGCTAGAAGTATGCCTTACTAATCCCTTAAGTAGATCCTAGCAATCAGATTGACATAACTGAGCTTCACCAACACAACTAATTTTACTCATAGCATGTAACTGCAGTATGTTTGTTAAGGATACTTTTTATTCACAATTTATGTATTTTTTAAAGGGAGAATTTATTTGCTTGGTGTAAGATTGTGGAAAACATTGGGAAGGGACAATGAAAACTTTTGGCATTATTCCAATAGAATGTACTTGTGAAATATTCTAAAATTCTTTAGCAGAAATGCACAAAAGTGTCAATTGTGAGAAACACATCAATCATACTTATTTCCTGGGTGAGCCACAAAGTTCAAGCTGTAAGGTAAGTAATATTCCTTTCTTTTTCAGAACACTTAGTTTCCTTTCTTTTTTCACAGGAAAAAAGCAAAATGTGTGGACAAATGTTTATAATCCCTACACCCTGGAAAGCTGAGGCAGGACAGACCCTAATTTAAGCACAGTTTGGGCAATTGAGCAATTTAGCAAGAACTTGTCTCAAAAATAAATAAGTAAATAAATAAATAGCTCAATGTGAAGGCCCTGGGTGCAATCCCCAGTTCTGTCAGAGAGAGAGAGAGAGAGAGAGAGAGAGAGAGAGGACTCAGGAGGAATGACTCATGAAAAGATGTGCAACTTTACCACCAACGGCCAATGCAGATTTCTGAAGATGAGATTTTCGATTGTAACTTCATTCCAGTTTTAAGCTTAATTGTCATTTGCTCCAAGAGGCCTTCCATTATCAGCAATACTAGGGAGAATTTACCCATCCTTAAATATACTGCCTATTTGTTTTGCTTTGTATCATGTATGATTAAAATAACATTTATTTACCTATATGGCTGTTTCAGAGCCTGCACTGGACAGAAGGGAGCCTGCAGGAGGGCAGACACTCTGTCTGACCTACATGACCAAAATGCTTCCATTACTCTCTGTTTAGCAACATGCCATGAGGTGAAAATTCACATTTCAGTCAGTTTTTACCCTTGTCATATCACTGGGTGGTGTCTGTGAAGCCACTGGTTTGATGGTGTAACAGCAAAGAGTAATTATGAACAGTAAAACTTAGTAACTAGCCGTGTTTCCTGATTCATTCTCATTTCACATATTCAGTACCACCACGATCTCTGTGTCTGGGTTGTGATAACAAAAATACCTTAAATTGTCTAAGTGATAAACGCCATAAGTTCATTATTCATAGTCCAGGAGGCTGTGGATTCCAAGATTAAGATGCCAACAGAATTGGCACAAGAAGGCCTCACTTTCTGTATCCTCACATAGTGTAAGGGGAATAAGACTCATGCATCTTTCAGAAGAGTGCTGGTTCCATTCATAGGGGCTCTGCCAATCACCAGTACACTTGGCATTAAATTTCAACAAATACATTTTGGGGAAACAACATTCAGATCATAGCAGGCTCCCACTTCAGTGCTTATTCATCTTTAATAGAATTATGTATTTGTGTCTGGCCATTTCACTAGGTAAGATATCCTCAGGGGAGAAATTATGATCATTTGTTTTTCCAGAGTAAATGCTTCATATTCTTGGGATGCTAATTAATTATCATTCTACAAGGCTATTATTTTTATTATCAAATCATTAATGCCCTTACACATAATAAGAAAACTGGAAACACTTTTTATTTCTATAACTTTTTGCCACGTCTCCTAAAAAGTATCCTGAAAGAAACTTAAGTATGTGCAAAAGTATTCAATGAGATTTTCCTAAA